TGAAGTATCTAATGAAGGGAGTTGTGACAAGTAGCTTGCAGAAAGGCTGGTAGGATGATTTTATAAGCTCTTCCTAAGAGTCTGTATCTTTCTGTGTCTCCCCCTGAAAAAACCTAGCAGTGCATACAATCTGGCAAATAAAAGAGTACTTTTTAAGATGCATTATGTATTTTTATATATCTCCTTTTTCCCACTGCAATAGAGCACGGCAATAGAACAAGCAGATGGAACATAAATAGCCATAGCAACCGTATTCCATTGTTACTTGATGCTGAAACTATAAACAGAAATTTTTCTGTATTAATAGTGGATCAGCTTCATGGCTCTTGGCAATGCCAGATAAGTAAAAAAAACAGGTAACTATCACCCACCTTAACAATTTTCCATATCCAGCAGTACTGAATATGGGGACTGTCATGGAGGTACTATCATTTCTGAACTTGACTATGCAAGTGTCTAAGTACCTAAAACCAGAGGTGTGTAGCAAAGTACATGTAATAACAGGCCTCCAGTTCCCTGAGTCACAGTTTTCCTATCACTCTTTGATGATGACAGCGAATTTCTCTTAATGCAATGAAGTAGCTGACATGGTTTAAAAAAAGGGCATAAAATGAAGGCAGTGATTTCTGTTACTAGAGTAATAAGAGGCATGGTCTTCTGTTGACAAAGCTGATTTATGTCCCTGTGCCTCACAGCTGTTTGTTCTCTCTCCCACTCGTGCAGACACTCTTTGACTCTACTGTAAACTGTATGGTGTGCTGACTTTGGCTGTGCTGGTTTAATTTTCTTCACAGTATCTAGGATGGGGATGTGTTTTGGATTTGTGCTGAGAATGGAGTTGATAATACAGAGATGTTTTCATTACTGCTGAGCAGGGCTTGCACACTGTCAAGGCCTTTTCTGCTTCTCATTATCTCCCTGACAGTGAGAAGGGGCGTACGTGGGAGTTAGGAGGGGACACAGCTGGGACGACTGACCCCGACCGACCAAGTGGATATTCCCTACGGTACGGGATTGGGCTCAGTGTAGAAAACTGGGGGAAGGAAGAGGGGGACATCCAGAGTGATGGCCTTTGTCTTTCGAAGGACTCATTACACAGGATGGGACTCTGTTGTCCTGGAGGCCGCCTGCCTATAGGAAGGGGTTAATTAATTCCTTGTTTTGCTTTGTTTGTGTGTGCTGCTTTTGCTTTACCTATTAAATTGTTTTTATCTCAATCCACGAGTTTTCTCACCTTTAGTATTCTGATTCTCTCCCCCATCCGAGTGGTGGGGAGTGATCAAGTTGGCCGGCATGATCTGGGGAAAGATAAGGCCTTTTGGATGGTGAGTCATACAGTCTTGGCACAGCCCCCACCTTCTCTTGCAACCATCAAGTGGCTAAGGATGGGCAAGGCTGTTCTTGGAACCAGCGGCGGGGTGGGGAACCATTAAGTCGACTGAAAAGGTGCTGGCTGACATCGGAGGGTGTACAATAGCGGCAATTATCAGGGCTCTCACACCAGGATGAAGATATTTTTCAGTTCTTCTCAAGCCAACAGTTCTGTTTACTTAACCCGAATATAACCTAAAACCTTTCCTGCCAACCCATCAAAGGCTGCTGTAGGTGAACAAAGCTGAGCTCGCAGCACATCCTCACTAATAATTCTCTGGAAAAGGAGTCATATGTCATGCCCTGCTCCTTCAGAGATGCTTCAGGACAGGCAGGATTTTGCTGTGGAGGCTCTGGGACTGGCTTGCAGAAAGCTGCCGTCTGTAAGAGCATCAGCTGTGATCTCCCTGCGATTGGAGATAAAGGTATTCAGCAAGATAGTGCTAACAAACACTACCAAATATTGTGGTTTCCTCAGAGAGACAATTTTTCAGAGGTCATCATCCAAAGACAGACCTTATTGCCACAGGTGGTTAGGTGTCTAAACACCTGCAGCAATTCCAAACAGGCAAGCAAGCAGCTTCCAGCAAGTGAGATCATTGATGTCTGCTGTATCAGGAGCTGCATGCCCAACGTCCTATGTAAAAACAGCAGGAATGCAGCTACTGTTAGAGGGAGTCCCTCAGCCCCAGGCAGCCAGAGGGACACGGGGGATTTAGTTTCTTTTCTGGTCTTTCTCTAGTATCTAAGCAATTACTTAGCTGGATCTTGGGGCTCCCTCAAAGCAGAAGTCCATGTGTTGTAATTTGTAAAAGATTTAATGGTCTGGACACTCTCCAGCTGCTTGACAGCAGATGGACTTCCGTCAAGAATGAGAAATTAATTCTAGCCTGATTATGAAAGAGATTCTCAGATATGACCCGAGGGTACTCTTCAAGTTTGCATAGCATGAAGAGTACATGGCCCTCACAGGTAGGAAAAGACTTAGGATTGTGGTTTCTTGGTGGTTTTTTTTTGTTTGTTTGTTGTTGTTTTTTTTTTTTATTTTTAAGTTTATATTTTTTCCTTTTATTTTAATGTCCAAGTGCAATGATTTAGAGTCATTCATGCCTCATGACTATTCAGTATCAGCCAATATGCTGCTGCCCTCTGAAGTCAGGCCAGGCAAGAGACTGTAGCAATGCTTGACTGAAAATTTCTGAAACCCTGTTATAGCTCAGCCCTCGAGTCATGTGGTGTAGTTAGATTGCTAAATATGCTTACATATGCCTGTAGGGAAGAGCCTATTAAAGCAAAGATCATTACTTTTAACTGCACTAGAGAGACAATTGGGGCTGTGAGCCCTTGCTCATGGATCACTCAGAAGAAACATGTAGCTTGTAAAACCCCTGCAGGCCACATTGACATGGAGAGCAAGGAATGAGGTTTCCACTGCTCTTGGTATTTTCCCTGTGGGACAGCTGGAACCCAGTAGATTACAGAATAAAATCCTGGTCTACATAATCTGTACCAGACTCAATTTCTTCTGTTTAGGTGGTAGTCTCTGCAGCACCAGAACGACATCTGCAGCTTTTTTGTCACTGTAGATATTGTAAATGAGGAGTCTATTTGCACAAGCTGTAATGCATATGAAGAGCTCCAAATCATCTTACAGCTTGATCCTAAAAAGATTTGCTGGCAAGGCAAATCATATTTGCAGTGTGCAGAAGTTACTGGTACACCGCAGAGTTACAAGAAGCAGCAGTGTTAACAGAGGTGTAATGCATTCTAGCAGAAAGCTTTTGCTGGCATGCACTTTCTTCCTCTAAGGAACTAATACCAACACTTCTGCAAGTATGAGGCTGGAGGCATCTGCATCTCCACCGGTTTTGGTAGTAGTGCCCAATTACCTATGCAGTTTTTTCACATGGTGATGTGATTCAGGCACGTGAAGGTAACAGAAGAGATCAACAGCTCTGTGGAAAGACAGAGATCTGGTTTTTTTTTTAATTCCACAGGCTCTAGAAACACTTCCTGAGCAACTATAAGCTCTTTCCAGCCCACCTTCCAAAACTCAAACAACAGCTGCTCCATATGCTCCCTCCAGCTACGTGTGCTTGCCAAACCTGCACACAACCCAGGCTGAACAACCAGGGGAATAACACAGCCATGAGGGAACAGTCAATTTCCACAGAACACTCCCATAGTACATGGAGTAACAAACCACAACATGCAGAGCAATCATTCTGAGCCCCAGGGCTGTTTCAGCAACAATATCTGTTTTTGCAGAAGGACATCTGCCTGCAGAGCTCCAGCTATTTCCTTACCCTTGCAGCAGACACATGGAAACAAAACATAGGAAGCAGCACAGGTAAACTGCAGCAGGCACCCTCTGCAATTGCTCTGCAAAGATCTGTATATTATTTCTTTAAAGACTGCATCTTGAAAGAACCCCCAAAATCATAAGCTGCTCATTTTAAAGCTGAAAGACAAGACATAGTATGTATGACTTGTATAGGTGATTTATATGGTTCAGCTTTACTTTTTCAAGGCAATTGTTGAAACTAATACTATTGCTAGAGAATTAACCAGAATTCATACAATGCTACAGGGATATTAATCTCCCATCTAGAGAAAGCTCTTGTTCTCAAATACAGAAAGCCACGTGAACCTGGTATTTCCCTCTCTTACAGGCCAGATGTACCTTTTTTCTGCTGTTTTAAGGTTGGCAGCCCATACATACAAGTGACTCGTTCTTTTGCCCTTCTCTACACAGGCTCAAGCCTCTGCTCCTGTCTCCCTTCCTGTACCTTACCTTGCAAGCAGAGTATTGCAGCTTGGCAGCTGAAGAGGGGATGTGCTTTTGCACCCACACAAGCAGGTTCCCTTCGGCAAAGGACCTGTAGCAGTTTGAGCCTGAGCAGTCGCTGCCAGTTTAGCTAATTGTGCTGGGTGGGAGAACCCACTGAATTACCCCTTTCGGTCAGATGAAGGGCTTCAGTGGTGTCGTGTACTTTAAAGAGCCCGGGATCAAACCAAAACACAATTTCTGCTAGTTTGGAATACTAAATAGCAACTTGGTTCTGGTTTTGTTTCAATGCTGGAAGCAGGAGATTTAGCTGCCTAGTCTCAGACTTCTGTTGCCATTTGAGGTCAGCACAAGAAACCCAACAGAGCTGCATATTTAATTAAGTGGGATTCCAGACCTCCAGTTGTGACCTTCTGGAGCACCAGCAGGAGGCCACACAATGGCCATGACACTTTTCTTTTGCTCCATCCTCCTTCAGCAATACTTTTTTTTTTTTTTTTTTTGAAGCATTGCTGTCCAAGGGCCAATACAGGGCTGCACATCACTTCAAGCCAGGAGCTTGGTCCAGTTGCCTAGCCCCAGAGCCTCCCCCACCCTCCCTGCAGTAGGCTACACAATAACATATTCTGTGACTTGCTCCTTTTTAAAAATTACTTGAGCCTACCCCTGGGAGAAACACGATAGGGTTATTTTTTTCCCTCCTTTTCCTCAGTACTGCAGGTCTAACCTGTGTAGCACAACCACTCTCGTAGCCAGCTGTTCAAATGCAAGCTGGTGACACCATCACAGTATTAAAATAAAGTAATTTATTTTTAATTCAAACAACTTTGTAAGAACATTAAGAACATTGAACATTAACCAGAAAAAACAATAAAACACAACATGGACATAACATAAAACATGCTTGGTAACACTACAAAAAACAAACTTTATGAAAAATGATTCAGCAACAACAAATATTCACCTCCTTTGCAATGGAAGCTCTGCTGCAAGACACACAGGGCAAGGATCAGAGATCACCTGCTAGAGAAGCAGCAAAGAAGGTGAGACTTGAACAACAAACAGACCGTAACAACCTCTGCTGCTCACAGCTGCAACATTGCACACTGGCCTCAATGAATGAGGTTCAAACTCCTCAATACCCAAAGCATCTTTGCCAAGGGTTAGCTATGAACAGACAGGCACACTTAAATAGGAAACTAGCCCCAGGCAGCAGGGTGCTGAGCCCCTCCAGTAGTTAAAACAGCAGTAGTGAAGGACAGGCAAGAAAAACAAATAGAACACAAACTCAAAACCCTGGAAATCCCATGGGTGAACACATGAGGTGGGAGAAAAATATACTCAGACCTGAGACTCATACCCACTCTGGGTCCCCATGGGGTGCCAAGGTAACTGGCATTGATTCTGTATAGGAGAGCTCGAAAATGGTGTGACAGTGTCAGAGGTGCTCTGGAAGTTGAAGGTGTCATCTACCTCCACGCTGACATAATCTATATTGTCAAAGTAGCTGTGATAGAAGTTCATTTGCTGGCTTAGTAAACCCATGGTTTGCTGGGTATTGCAGCTTGTCCCACCTTTTCCAAAGAGCCCTTCATCCTCCACAGATGAGAAGGAGTACAGGTTCTGCCCATTCCCGTAAGTCTGTCCGCTGCTGTAAGCCTGGTGCACGTTGGACACAGCCTGAAAGTTCCTGCCAGAACCGGCAGGGAAGACCTGGTGGAACGCTGGCGCCATATCCAGGTATGCAGCCTGATCAACCCCATTCTAGGAGACAAAGAAAGTCGTTCAGCAGTGCAGAACCACACCAGCGGCCCATTCTTTTGGATGGGTCCTCTCTTCTCCCCCAGCTCCCCCTCCAAGCCGAACAATAGCGCCTTTTTCAGGCCCTTTGTCCTCCCAACAGACCAGTAATCGCAGGCAGAGATGACCTGTTAGTAATCTCCAGCTCAACGTGTCCAGGAACAGCCACGCTGGGGGGGAAAACTTAAAAGCTTAAAAGAGAAGCCATTTTAAGCCCTGTTAAGAGGAATTCAACTGGCTTGGTAATATTCCTGTGGCTTGTTAGAATTACCAGGTTGGACATGATGCATTTCTCCTCGCAGACTGGAGGAACTATGACTACTGCTGATGGGGAAATTTACTCACCTGTGGTAAATACATCCCTTTATCCATCCACTGGCTCTCCTTTTGGCAACGCTTAAATTTCATCCGTTGATTCTGAAACCATGTCTTCACCTAAAAGTGATGCAGAAAGGACATAAGAAATTAGAAATTAATTTTTTAAGAGCTTAGTACACATCCTTATTTCTGCTACAATCCCCTTTCTGACTTCTAATACTGTCAATAATTTCAGCGGCTAACAACGTGCTGCAGATGCAGGTGGCTATGAAATCACAGAGCTGAAAACTAACATTTCTACTCCTCAGATCACCACTGGACCTTTCCTGACTTCAAAAACCCTAACTAAAACACCGGCCAAGGCAACTGCAGAAATCAGGTTGTACAGTACCATCTCACTGCTGTGCCATGGCCAGGGCTCAGGAGTGAATCGTTCCTTTAATCAGACACAAGCAGCTGCTGGGGCAAGGACCCTCTCTAGGGAGAGACCATGGTGCCACTCCGACTAGGAAAGGCCACTTGCATAGCAGTGCAGGCGCCTTTCTACATTCAGAGACAACACACGTCCCTGCAGAACAGTAAAACCTGACTCTGCACAGCCCTGCTTTGCTGCTCTGCAGGCCCTTTGAAACACTTGCACGCAGTGGGTGGATAGTGCTGGAACCAAACGTAAGACTGAGTCATAGATTTTCACACCCTCTGCCCTCTGAAGTAAGAGGTAGCACAAGATAATCTAAGAAACTTCTCTCTGGGGTCCAAGAAAAACGAAAACCACACACACATAGAAGAAGGAAAAAAAAAAAAATTAAAGACCCCAAATCAGCTGCTGCTCAAAGCAAGATGTTCACCTGCTTGTAGGTGAGCTCAAGGGCAGCAGCCAGCTCCCGGATCTGCTGGGGGCTGAGGTACTTCTGGCTCTGGAAGCGCTGGTGTAGGGCTTTCAGCTGCTCCTGCGAGAACGCTGTGCGGCTCTTGCCCGTCTTCACCACCCCCTTGCCTTGCGCCTTGACCTTCTGCAGAGAGGAGTAGGGAGACGGGCTCCCTGCTGCGGTGGGGCTGGTGGCGGAGTCGGGGGTGTGGTACTGGGTGAGTGTCCCAGAGCTGGAGGAAGCTGGGGAGTCAACTGAGGAGAAAAGAGAACTGGGCTGAGCAAAATAAGTCAGGGAAGACTCAAAAAAACCTTGAAAGCCCAGCTTCCCGGGAGAATTTACGATTGCGGGTGCCCTGGGGACTCGCAGCGCGGGGAGGAGGGCTCAGGTCGCCTCACGGCAGCACAGCCGATGCGCCCCCGTTCGCCCCTTTGCCCGTCCCGTCCGGGCAGAGCGGCCGCGCTGGCGGCCCGGCTCCGGCCCGCAGCGCCGGCAGCGCCTCCCAGCCCCACACAGCCCGGGGCAGCCCCATCGCTCCGGCCGCCTTACCTGAGGGACTGGGCGTCTTGGCCGCGGGCAGCGGGAGCGCGTCCGGCGCCGGAGCCTCCTCGGTGGGCGCGCTGTCCATGCTGCCTGCGGAGAACCAGTAATAGTCCCCATACTTGGCCGCGCCAGGGTACAGCACGTATGGCGGCGTGCCTAGGTGGCTGCTCATGGCCGGGCCCGGTCCCCCTGCCCCGAGCATGTCGCGATGTGACCGTCGAGACTGCCGGCGGCCCGCGGACAGAGACTCCTTTGGGGTCACATGGGGGGGATGCTTTAAGTCCGCCCCAGCCTGGCCTTGGCTGGAGGGTATTGTCATGGCCATTGTCATGTTAAAAGTTGGTTGATTGGGGGGAAGGGATTTTCGAGGGTATTCAGGGACCGGGGGAGGGCTGGGACACCGGGCTGCGCTTGCCGACTTGGCTGGTAGATGTCACGGTGAGGATGAGTACATCGCTCCCTGCTGGGGCGTGGGAAGGAGGTCCTCGCTCGCCCCTCGGGGCAGCAGGTCTGAGCTGGGTCGCCCGGTGAGCTGGACTGAGCTTGGCCGACATCCCCCACATTTCACAGGTCCCCACCCAAACAGAAAGAATGGCCCCGGAGCCCGCCGCGGGGTATGAGGAGACTTTGTGCGTCTGCATTGCAGATCGCAACCATCATTGCAAAGAGATAAGCCCTTCACCTCCCCGCGAGTGAATCCGGACGGGGGGCAGGGGGGATGGCCCTACAGAGCCGTGTCTGTATGGCGGGGAAGAGGGCTCAAAGACAGCCAGGCTGCTTCTCCCAGCGGCTCGCCCAAGGCTGAGCCAGGCAGTCCTGTTCTGCCCATTTTCCAAGCTTCTTTCCCTCGCCATTTAAGGGTTTCTAAAAAGTGATATCTTAAAATTAAAAAAAATTTTAAAAATTAGTTACACATCAGGGAGGGATGGGACTCACCGGGGCAAATTCAAAAGGAGACAAGAGCGCTGCAATTGTAAATGAGCTGTACAGATCTTAAGGATTTGAAGTTAGGGCCTTCTTGGGGAGAATAAACTGTTTCCCTTGCCACCTCCTCCCCCAGCTATTATTTCTTACTTTAAGGAAATTGAAAATTTTTCGGTAGGATCTCACACCCGAGAGTTACAAAACCTGGAAAACCACCTGGAAAAAATACAAACGAGGGCAATGTGACGCACCAAGCAAATTCCCCAGCTCCACCAGCGCAAGGAAACAGAACACAGGCAGGGGTGTAGCTACTAACCTGCTGCACTGTTAAACGTCTGTAGGACCTGACAGCGAAAGACCTCCCTTGATTTCAATTTATCTCCGCCTCCCATCTTGAGTCCTAATGAGAAATGAGCCCCAGCTGATCCCCTGAGCCAGCAAGGAAGGGTCCTTGCCGGGCTTACTATAGATCACCTCCTAATTAATGATTCAGGTTCTCAGAATTCGCACCGGGTCCAGTCAGGACTATTAGGAATGTGTGAGAAAGAGGTTATAATCTCTTTTAATGAAAATACCGAGGTGTGAGGGATGAAAAGACCGAGCTATAACCAGAGCCTGGTTCTGGCCACAAAGCAAGCAGAGGCAGCCGGGCCGTGGGTTTTGGCCAGGTCACTCGCTCGGTGCTCGCAGAGCAGATGCACGGTCGGAAAGGGATTTTCCCCGGGAGGCGAAGCTGTCCTGCTGCCCTTGGCGGGGCAGAGAGCCGCCGGTCCCCATGTCCCCTGCTGGCAGGGCTGCCCCGGGACACGCGTGATCCCCGCGGGGGCTCTCCGAGTTGCCCCAAACCAGCCCCTTGCAAAGACGGAGAAACCCGCGGGGTTTCTGCAAGGCTCCGGAGGCTGCGGGAGCCCCCGAGTCGTCCGAGGACACACGGCTGGGGAGGATGGACCGCGGCAGAGGGATTAGAGTTCTACAGAGGGAGTAACACCGCCTCTGCCAGCAAATCCTCCCTCGGAGAGCCCTGTCAGTGTGCTTGGAAAGGCAGCAGGACTGCTCACAGTCTGCGATTTTCATACATAGATCGGTTTTTTGCGTGTATATCAGCTCCTGTCCCAGCGTCAGACCAGCTTTGTAGTGAGCATGCAGCTGATTTAGGTCCCCCCACCTTTTTTTTTTTTTTGTGTCTTTGTTAATATTTTTGTCTTCTCATCCCATTTGTCCTCCATTCCCTTTGTTTTATGCTTTAACCACTAAATCTCTTTTTCACATATCCCCTTCCAGTGAGGATAATTTGCTCCCTCACCCCAACAATACCTCTAATCAACTTACCAAACACATGTTTTTTAATGTAATTGTGAGAGAAATAAGACTTGTGTAAGTGTATAAAATCATACCATCTAAAGTCAGAATTTATTTAGGAAAAGAAACACAGTTATTTTCCCCCAAATAAAGGATACACGTGGAAACATATTGCAAAGGTAAATGCAGAAGTCATACAGACACAGGGAATGCTATGGAAAACATGATGTGGACATTTGGGAAGCTCATGGGATGATCAGGTCTGGAACATCTGCCTGTGGCACCATCAGCCTTCAGGCTGGATATACTGCCCATGAATCTCTAGAGCTGATATGCTTTTAAAAAATGTTGGGAAATTTTTTTAAATTTAAAAAAAATTAAAATATCTAGAGATAATGTGCTTTAAAAAAGTGTTGGGAATGACTCACAGAGCAGATGCAAGTATCCACTTGTGCTTCTTTTGGAACTGTTTTCAGCTGAAACAGCAACACAGGTCAGATCTAGTCTAATCCTGTTTTTCCCAACGGGGCCAAATAGCAGGAACAATTAGGGGTTTGACTCTGGATTGTGTCCCCCTCTCCATTGTGTGGCTACCCCCTTATTTTTCAGTTCTTAGCTCATTATGCACTCATTATGTACTGCGGAGCATTAGTCAGGTGAGTAACAAGTTGGCGTATTCTTGACACCCATACCCTCACCCTTGAAATTGTTTGTAAAGACATCAGCACGCATCTTTCCTATCAAGTGTATGGGACTGAGTGCAGCCACTCACTGGGCTGTAGCGTGCTCTAACAAACCCTTTCTGCAGTGCTGCAGCAGCAGCGACAGAAGCTCAGGTGCAAAGGCAGTCTTGGCCTCTTTGTCTAAGCACAGTGAGATTGGACTGTGGCTGGAATGTGTTTCATCCAGGAAGTTCCCCCTACAAGGATCTCCCATTATTCTCAGTTGGGTCCCTACCTTCAGAGGGCTGGAGCTCAAGCTTGCTCTGAAGTGATGCAAAAGCACCAGTTTACATAGATGGAGGCTGGGGAAGCACCAGCTGGCTACTGCTGTAAATTCAGCTCTGGAGCTCACACCACTGGCTCAGAAATGCTGGGGTTTTCCCGCCTCAGAGCATTGCTAGACTAGTTTTGATCAACAGGATAATGTTATAGGGGTAGAGATTGTCTCAGATTTTACATAGATTAGGTGCTCTCCTGCCTCCCGCAGCTGTAATGTGGGTAACCTGCGTTGTGGTGAATGTTGTGAAGTGCCAGTGCATGTCGCTGTGCCATTCTGCTCATGTTGGAGGTGCTCAGCGGGGCAGCAGGGTGCTGGCTCGGTATTACTGAACAGGGAACCACGGCCAGTTTCCTGGGAGCCACCATCCTCTGACAGCGATGTGTGTGCTTAGGGAAGGCAACTAGAAATCCTTGCCTTGTGTTCTGTTGAGCTTGTCTGAGCTTTCATCCCAAGCAGGCACCTTTAGTTTTATTATTGTATTTTTGTGAAATTTGATTATTTTATTTGATGTTGTAAGCAAATGCTCCCCAAGGTAGGTGTATGAAAGCACCCCTGCCCTGCAGACCTCAGTACTTGCCTGGCCCTTGGCTCTGGAGAGCCTGTCCCCTGCAGCATGGTCATAGCCTGCAGTCTGGACCCAAGATGACAGACTGTAGAAGGAAGGGAATCAAGAAAGAATAACAAAAATTAGGCCCTCATTCATATTAAAATACAGTTTTTCTTTCTCTTGACTCTTTAGGGGAGCAGAAAAGCAGAAATCTTCTCCCTCCCCCTGGCAGCCCAGTCTCTGAATGCCCTGAGAATTACTGGGTGATGTGGCCCTTTGTTAGCAGTGCAGGGGCACACTGGCACAAAGCCAAGTGCCAAGTGCCTCCCTGAAAAGGCGAGAAAGCTGCGTGTCAAAAAGCAGGTGGGAAGTAGGCTAGTGAGAGCATGAATTTCTAGGTCTGTTCTTTCAGGATAGGTCTGTTCTTTCTTTCTCAATCCTTCATCCATTCCTGCCATGCACCTGATGCCGGAGTGCTGTAGCTGTAAGCACTCATCTCACGAAGCATCCCCTACCAGTGCCCATCATCTGGCATGTGGAGCAGTCTTGCAAGCAGCTTGGAGCCAGGGTTATGTGAAGTCCTGGGGAACATGGAGAGATGTGCATATCGGGCAAAAACCTTCCAAGCATCCTCCCTGCTGGAATCCTCCCCCCTCCCCGCTATCCCTGGTGTGGTTGTTCCCACAGGCTCAGTTAGTAGTCCTCTTACTAAAAGCAAAGAGCACAGACAGAGCTGTCTTCAAATGCCTTCTGCCGTTTCCAGCTTAAGGGAGGAATGACAAATCCAATATTTCCCACTGTACCAAGGCCCTGTGCTTGGCATGAGCCACCTCCCCCACTCTCCTCGAAAGGCTGCTCTCTATCAAGCACTTTGTCTTTTGTTCTCCAAACGCACACCATTCGTGAACTTTGAAATTACGCAGAAGGGTTTTTTTTCCCCCCCTCCGCTGAGACATCTTTGTCTTCCTCATTTTCATAGGGATAGCTTCCTACAAAATCCAGTGCTGCCAGAGCCTTCAGTTCAAGCTGAGTCTCCTGCTCTCTCAAGTTCACCAGGTATTATGGCACCTGCTTTCTCCCACATCTCTCATCTGAGGATGATCCCGTATATGTCATCATGGTAAATTAATATCAGGACAAAGCTAATGAGGATTATGTGCCAAGTGGGTGGCTGTAATCACACTCGTGCAGACCATAAGTGGGCACAGAGTCTGAAAGTGCTTCTAACACATCCCACAGCCAAATTCTTCCAAGTTAGCACATACTTCTTAGGCAGCTCGCTGTGCCAAATCTGTTCTAGCTGGGGTTTTGTAAGTCCCAGGAAGTCCCCAAAGGAGCAGATCGCCTGTGATGCAAGTGTCTAATTACAGCGAATGCTACTATTAGGAAAAATGGTGCTTAGTTTTCAAATCTGTCAGGACTTGAGATAGGGATCCCCCCCCCATTGCCTGGCCCTTGCCCCCACCTCTGCAGCCTCTGCTTTTCTCCAAGAGGGCTCTTGCACATGCATTCATGAGCGATTAGCAAGTGTTACAGCCTGAGGCTCCCTGGCTGGCACCCGCTCTACATCTGAATGGCAGAGCCGGGGAAGCCCAGGGCTGTGGAATGGGATCTGCAAGTGGATGTTGTCTGCGCCGCCTGACGGAAGAAAAAGCTTTACCTGCTTTTGTCTGACAATATTTAGATGGCCGACTTGGCTGAGATGGAGAGAGAAAGAGACAAAGAGGAGACGAACGGTGAGAGGGTGGAGCTTTTTAAACAGGGTGTAATTTGTCTAGGAATTAAATCCAGCGAAGGGTGGAAAGTGGGTAGGGGAACATAGCATTGCCATCAATTATTGGTGCAAAGGTTAAAATTACCTGTACTTCATCTTCTTTAAATTCCATGGAGCTCAAATTAGGCTGTGAAGGCACATCTTGTGGGGGCAGCAACAAAACACCAAAGAGACAATAGTATGAACTCCATCTCTCCCCGGGTGCAAGGTCAGAAGCCACAGAGTCATACCGTGGAAGAAGTCCAGACCCCCAGACTACTGTGACAAAATAAAAATGCTTCTCCAGCAGAGCTTAGTTATGATGGAGACATGACTGTCTGTGTTGAGAAAAACATTTTGCTAAAAATTCCTTGTTTAACCCCAGCTGTGTCTTTCATGCAAACTCTGGGGTTAAGACAGACCTGAGAACACATTCTCTTAACCCCACTCACGACCATATTGTTTTGCTGTAATTATAAACAGCCTAATAATAGTGTCAAAAGTGCTAGCAAATGCAAAGTAACTTTGCATAGTATTTAATGGCTTTGGTGCAGAGCTGCAGGTGTCAGCTGTGTTCCAGCAGAGCCCTCTGACGTGATAGCGCTTCAGATATCTCTCTTCACTCACTGCATCCATCAAACTTCACCAATTCTCCAGCAGAAATGGTCAAGTCAGGTGTAATTCGTCTCTCCTCAGCCACTGCAGTTCACAGACAGCACATTGACACAAACCACCAAAGATTTCAGTTTCTATCAGTATCCACCTGCTCTGTGAACCACTCTTTTCCTGTCATTTGATCCCCAGAGAACACATGTACACTGGTCATGAGATTCAACATTGTCATCTTCATTGACCTTCTTGTGTCTTGAGAGAGATGCTTGGAGCACCTCGAGGCGCTGAATGATGCAGCCATGGAAGTGCCAAGGGCTGCTGGCAGCCTGCTCAACAGCAATCTGCTATGACACCAGGGAACAGGAGGAGAAGCAAATTCTCAGAATCAGGCTGTTCTATGTAACATCGTCTTTCTAGCTTTAAAACTTCCCTTATGGTGAAACACATGAACGTCTTGTTTCAGTCTCCTGAAATCAAGGCCAAAAAGGAGGGAGTTTGTCCAGTGGGACAGGTGCTGATTTTTGTTCCCTCTATGTAACCAGGAGCAGGGAGGGATTCTTGAGTCCCATGACAATTAAAGACACACATCGACTTGGGTAGCATTGAAGTTTGAGATTTTTTTTCTGTGCTTGTAACAGTGCACCTGAGGGCACACTCTGACCCTTTATTTACATGTGGCAATACATGCATTCCAGGACAAAGAAATAAAGCTAGACACAGCGAGAAAAAGCTGAGCCACAATAAGTAGAGGGGAGGTAAGAGAAAAAGAGAACAGAAAACCATTTTATTAGGTCCAGGTTCCTAGATTGCCTTCATCGTTATGGTGTCTGAGCATTTTCCGGTGGAGTATTCAGTGGCCTGACTCAGATCTGCCACATGTGGTTCTTTTTCTGTCTCTCATCCTCTCCTCGGGGAGACAGCTGTACTTGTTGTGGAAGATTTAACTTAGGCTCAGCAGGCTTGGGTTTGGGGCTTGTTCATAACATGCTTGCGGCTGCCTGTGTTTGAGGAGTGTGCTGGAAACGTGCACCTTTTACTTGGAAGTGAAGTGGTGAGACCAGGGCATGCTGTAGCATGGGCTTATTATGACCCCTGAGACACCTCTGCTTCCTGCTTAGACTAGATTTGCACAGGATTAGAGTGCTCCCTGCTATCAGTGCAGTGGAACTGCTGAGACCAGTAGATGTCAGCTGCTAACTTCAGAGACGTAAAGGAACCTCTGCATACTGGCCTGAGGCCACTGGGTACCTCAAGGTGTTGAGCTGGGTAGTGTGGCAAGTAGGAGGCAGCCTCAGTTAGAAAACACAGCTCAGATGCAAGAAAAAGCAGGTCAACAGGGATGGGTGAAACACTCTCCAGTCCTGTCCTTGTGCTCTCTGAAGTCTACTGACTTAGGAAGTTGCCTACACTGTTTGCCAGCTGATATTGGGAGCGGAGGAGAGTTTCGCTTTATATGAATTGTCAGCAGAAGTATAACTGGCCAGCTGGTCTGATCCAGTATTTTGGGATGTAGAGTACTTATAATACAATAAATGTGCAAGATAAGTGAGGACTCTCTGCTGTTCCAGTGTGTTGGGTCCATCACAAACCCATGTTCACCAGGGAACTTTCCATATTAGAGAAAGATCTTACCTTATCAGGAACTGCTATTCTAGGGTACATCTCCAAGCCAACTCTTAATTCTGTGGTTTGGTTATGGATAGTGATGGAGTTTGGACAGTTTGAAGCTAAAAAAAGTACCAGCTGAGATGCTGGTTAAACACTCTGGCAGTCATCTGAATGAGTGGTCTCTAAAGTGCAAGAAAATGCCATGTGCTGACACTGGGTAGTTCTGTGGCAAAATGATCTACCCTTGGCCTGGTCTGGTGTGAGCTAAATGGCCAAATTATCACGTATGGGGAAGGACTGAGAATAACACAGAAACTCTTCAGTATAACTGACAAAAGAAAAATACAGCCTTAATTAATTACTTCCCAGAAACAGGTCACAGCTACCTCCGCACCCTCAGCAGTGCACATAGCGGTGTGTAATTGGAATTGCTTTGTTAGTCCTCTCCCCCACCCACATGCCAGGAAACTGAGGCACAAGGCTGTGTGGTGGCCCAGCACTCTTGACAGGCCCGGAGCAGCCATTAGGTGGTTCACAAGTCTTTGACAGCTTGCATTCTTGGGCTGGGCAGAAGCGAAGATCCCTGTTCTAGAGAAGTGAGGATTTGCCATGGCATCACTTCCTGCCCAGTCTGCCGTTTGTGTTTAGGGAAGCAGTGTCCAGGCTTGTGACATTGCTGCTCCCTGTGCCCCAGCCCTGGGCACTGCACAGAGGAGGCTGGTTGGGTTTGTCACAGACGTGCTAGGACAGCATCTCCCGCAGACCCTTGCTGGGATGGATATGCCCTGCCAGGAGGGCAGTGTGGCA